ACTACATCTTTGATTTGAAAGAGGAGGCTTCTACTTCTGCAAAGACTAGAACTACATCTTTGAGTTTCTGAGGTTGTTCATCTTTAAAGAACCAGATAGTCATCTTTCTCCTGAGATTTGAACTGCTGATTTGAACTGTAGATTTGAACTGCTGACCTTGTAGTTAGCAGCCCAACTATGCCACCCACTATGCCACCAGGGCTCCTTCTCTATCAGAAAAGAAATAGAAGAGGAAATAATTGAGTACAAGGGAACTGTATACTTGATTTTTGCTCTTGTCATATGGCGGCATCATTTTTGTTGAGACATATGTAGTCTTAATTTTCATGTCAGAATTAACCTTGACTTATGTGAGTTTTGAATTATATAGGTCTTTGGTCTTGTAGGTATTTCTTTGGTTGTGCATTCCTTGCATAAATTGTGATCACTAGAATAAGGAGGAATGTGAAAGTCATCTACACCTACTCCTCACTTAATGACTTTCATTTCACATTATGACAATACTAAGAAATCCACTGTTCAACTATCATGTACATTCGGGGTGCACCTCTGGGAGTAATGAACACTGAGGTGTGAGGCTAGAGAATTGCTGGCTGTGATGGCTAAGGTTATGTGCCAACTTGGCTGGGCCAGGATTCTCAGTGGTTTGGTAGTTAAGTAAGATAGGAGCTGGCAGTTAATATAATGATGTAGTTATATTCCACTCTGATCTGATGTGGGCATCCTTCATTTTAATGTTGATTAGGACCTACTCTTTGGAACCTAATTGTTTTGATGAGTTGAGAAGAGGGTGTATAATTGTACCATTCAGAGAAAATTATTGCTACTATGACATGAATGTGTATGTAGAAATATATTTTAATGGTGTTTTATCTAGTTGCTGTCATTTCATACAGCGACTTAAGAGTGTTTTACTTACTGTTTTATCTAGTTTTCTTATTTAGCAAAAATATAGCGGGACTTCAGAAAATTCTTGAAAAAATGAAATTAAGGTATCATGGAATTTTCTCATGAATTCTTTGAAGTCCTTGTGACAAAATGGCTAAGGTGCTAATCTGCTAACTGAAAGGTTAGTGGTTCGAACCCACCAGCTTCTCTGAGAGAAAGATAGCATAATTTTCCTGTGCAAAGATTTACAGATTTGAAAAACCATATGAGACAGTTCTATTCTGACGTTGCCATGAGTTGGAATTGACTCCATGGAAGTGAGTTTGGTTTTAATGTATTATCCCATGGGGCTCCAAACCAGTTATTAACTAGAAGTGGGTGGTTTGAACCTATCAAGAGGTACCTTGAAAAATAGACCTGTTCATCTTCTTCCAAAAGGACACAGCCACAGAAAATCCGAAGGAGTGCAGTTCTACTGTGACAATACGGGGTTGCCAACTAGATGGCAAGTAGTAAAAAAAATTTTATCCCATAGTTGTGATTACAGGTAACTATTTAATAGTCTACCACAGATTATAAGTAATTGCATAGTAGTATATACATCATGGAGCCCTGGTGGCACAGTTGATGAGCCTTTGGCTACTAATTGTAAGGTTGATTTGAACCCACCTAGTGCTCCATATGATAAAAGACCCAGTGATATGATAAAAGACCCAGTGATCTGCTCCCGTAAAGATTACAGCTTGGAATACCTTGTGGAGTTGCTTTAATCTGTGATACTGGGTGCTTGTGTAGTGGAAGTGACTTGACTGCATGCAACATTATACCATCAGGTACCTTACTTTATTTGATAAAGTACCCATTATTGGAAATTTCTAATTTTTTTCATATTTATTTCGAATGATTATTGTTTGATGTACATTTAGGTTGGGTTTTTTTTTTAAGAGTTTCATTTCTAGAGTATTTCAAGTATGTACATTGTAAAGAATACAAAGCATGGTTGGAGAGCATATTGGCAAATTGTTCTTGAGGAAAATTGTACCAATTTATAGTCCCCCCAGTAGTATATTTATCTAAAAAATGTTTTCTACCACAAGCTATTGATAAAATATTTAATCACTTTGTATTTTTTTGTTGTACCCTAGACAATACAATGTAGATTATAAACTAGAGACTTACTTGAAGATTGCTAGGCTATATCTGGAGGATGATGATCCAGTCCAAGCAGAAGCTTACATAAATCGGGCATCACTACTTCAGAATGAATCAACCAATGAACAGTTACAGATACATTATAAGGTAA